AAACACATAAACTCATAATACGATCGTCATCGAACGCTAAGCGTGCGGACCCTACGGGTTCGAGAACTATGTAGACATGACAGAGACTCACTTCCGGTCAATAACCAATAGCGGAGCCTAGATGCTCATATCGGTTCCTACATATTCTACGAAGATCTTTATCGGTCAAACCACATATAACAACATACGTTGTTCCCTTTATCATCGGTATGTTACTTGCCCGAAATTCGATCATCGGTATCTCAATACCTAGTTCAATCTCGTTACCAGGAAGTCTCTTTACTCGTTTCGTAATGCATCATCCCGCAACCAACTCATTAGTCACTTTGCTTGCAAGGCTTATAGTGATGTGCATTACCGAGAGGGCCCAGAGATACCTCTCCGATACACGAAGTGACAAATTCTAATCTTGATCTATGTAAACTCAACAAACACCATCGGAGACACCTGTAGAGCAACTTTATAGTCACCCAGTTACGTTGTGACGTTTGACAGCACACTAAGTGTTCCTCTGGTATTCAAGAGTTGCATAATCTCATAGTCATAGGAACACGTATAAGTTATGGAGAAAGCAATAGCAACAAACTAAACGATCATAGTGCTAAGCTAGCGGATGGGTCAAGTCAATCATCATCATTCTCTAATGATGTTATCCGTTCATCAAATGACAACCCTTGTCCATGGCTAGGATTCTTAACCATCTTTGATTAACGAGCTAGTCAAGTAGAGGCATACTAGTGACACTCTATTTGTCTATGTATTCACACATGTACTAAGTTTCCGGTTAATACAATTCTAGAATGAATAATAAACATTTATCATGATATAAGGAAATATAAATAACAACTTTATTATTGCCTCTAGGGCATATTTCCTTCACCACATGGCAGCCTCTTTCTACAGGAAACGCCTACATGTGACACATGTCCTACATGTGTCAAGCGAGCAGGCGTGGAGCTGGCGAGATAGCCCGACAAGGCTTGCCGGGCACCCAATGACATGACGTTAAGTAGTGCATTTAATGCACCCTGTCAACCCACAGAGTGAGGTATGATGGCACTATTTTCTATCTTATCAGTGCATAATGACTACTTTCCCATTGTGGTAACCCCTTAATCTATAAAAGGAGGCCCATGGCAACCATAGAAAGGGTTAGAAGGTTGGATAACTCACACACCCATAGGCACGTAGTCAGTGCCACCCCTGCCGAGCAAGTGTACTATGCTCCATCACCAGTCTTCCGCCATCAATCCACCAAAGCAGGAGTAGGGTTTTAATCCTCACGGCGGCCTGAACCTGGGTAAAATTGCCCGTGTGATCTCTGTCGTGCTACCCCACACAGGTCTGCTCCTTGCGCAACGCGATGCCCCCCCTATCAAACCAGCACAGGGCCCTCTGGTCCCATAGGTGGCCATGGTTTCCCACGACAATTAGCCGGTGACACCTTTACCGACTTTGGGAATGCCAGTCCTGACAACATACGAGAGATCGTTGTCAATGGCTTCAAGATGCATACACGTCTTATTCTTCCAATAGGGGTAATAAGTGCCATCAAAGATGGGGCACGCAGCGGAGACCTTGATTATCCCTGCAGTCGACATAGATCAAAGTCCACATGGTTAAACCAAATCACACAGAATAAGGGAGCACCTTGCTCTGATACCAATTGAATCGACTAGAGGGGGTGAATAGGTGATTTTTATGAAAGTCTTCGAAAGATTCAAGATCCTCTAAGACAGATAACTAAACAACACCTATACGATATGCATCAGAAGATAAGCTATGGTAGACAGCCATAGTCAAGTAAATAGTATAACAAAAGCACAAAGACTAATAGCAACCAGGTAGAACAAATTGGAATGGGAAGACAGTATGAAGCCAAATATAAGAAAGAATTCACACTATGAAGTCCAACAGATCAGGCAAGCAAGCAATTTCACGAAGACAAACTGAAATGTAAATAAGGTAGGGGATAGAACCAGTTACTTTGTGAAGAAAAGGATTTGGTAGAACAGTTCCGGTTGTTATGACAACTGTACGTCTAGTTAGGGAGGCTGAGATTGAACTCAGAAGACCACGTCTTCACCTTATTCCTCTTGAGATAAGGATACTTAGTCCTCGCCCAATCACTTAGGTAAGTCTTCAAGGTAGACTTCCAAACCTTGACAGACTCCGTTCACCAGCGATCCACAATGACTCTTGGATCCTCAAAACGTGATGCCTAACCGGCTGGAGGGTACACAGTCCTCAAGTGTAATAAGTCTTCAGATCACACGAACATAAAGACTTTAGTGATGCCTAACACTCTTTGGTTGTGGGTGTCTTGGGCTTTGTCCTCGCAAGGTTTTCTCTCTCAAAGGCTTCAGAGGTGGGTTGCTCTCAAACGACAAAAGTCATGCACTAACTCTGAGCAGCCACCAAGTTATGGTGTAGGGGGTGGACTACTTATAGCCAGGAGGAAACCCGACATGATATGTCCAAAATGACCCTGGGTCACTAAGGAACTGACACGTGTCCAATGGTCGGATTTCAAACACATGCGGCAGCTTGACTTGGGCTACAAGCAAAGGTGACTCATCCAACTCTGGATAAGATTTACTATCATTGTCTTCACTCGAAGACATAGGATTTTGGTTGAGCATCACGTCAGTCTTTTGACTTTGTTCACTTGGACCCCACTTAACAGTTCGGTGGTTCCTATGACTCAAGAAAGAAGAAAATGAAACTACGAAAGAAACTATGTCTTCGCACTCCATTGTCTTCAAGTGAATGTCTTCACACATCATTATCTTCAACGTGAATGTCTTCATGAACCACCATTGTCTTCAATGTCTTCATACATTTTAGGGGTCATCTTTGGTAGGAAAACCGAATCATTGAGGGACATCTACCTGTGTTATCCTGCAATTCTCACAAACACATTAGTCCCTCAACCATGTTTGTCGTCAATACTCCAAAACCAACTAGGGGTGGCACTCGATGCACTTACAGGACATCTCTGCACTAGTGATATGGCTGGCCTGAATTTGGATTTTGGATCTACGTCGCTTACATGTTTGGGCTTTGATTTCCTTTTGACTTTTAGAAAGCTTTGGTCCTTAGAATCAATTTTTGTCAACTCGGGATTTCTTTACATGGAATGGGACACATGTCCAGGTGGTTGGCTTAACTTCAAATTTTCAGGCTCGAGGGTCTCACGGACTTGAGTTTGATTTCTTGATGTTTTCATGTCTTGTCTTTGGCCCTGGCCGGTAACATGGGTCTTGCCTAGATCCATCATTCAGACATTAGCAAGGAGATAGGGATGACCCCGGGTCCAGCTATAGAAATTTCTATATTTTGTTGTCTCACATGGTTAGTCAAACGATTTGATAAGGATGATTCCATAAATGAACTTTGGCCAATTTAGGATAGGGTTGGACCCCCTTATACCATAGCTTAATTACAAAACACATAGAAAGAGAACGTATATTTGAAGACACCTCTCGACCATTGTGGAGCTATACCATGACCATGTTTGCACATACCATTCCGAGCAGAGCCTTGCATGGTGCAATCACCATTGTCCCTTGCCATACATCAAGTCCAACATTGACATTGTTTATCACTAGATTTATGATGCTACATCGTCCTCATGGTGAACTGTGGTATAGTGATTATGTAAGCGTAAGACAACTGATGCACTTTTATTAAAAAAATACATCGGAGGCACGGGCTGTGCCACAAATACAAAGCTGATGCGGAGAGAGATGATAGGAATGGATTATTTCCCTGCATAAGAGAGAGAGAGAGAGCATATGTTATGATGCATGGCTTTATCGACCACTCATGTTTGGAGAAGATGAAGAGAACGTGAAAGTCCATCAATGCATATCGATCCCTTAAGTGAGTGGAACTAGAAAAATGAAGAGGAAGGGCAACCATGGAGGAGATAAAGGATATTGTCGACAAGATGCCGCTCTCTGCAAAAAAGTGAAAAATAATAATGACATGGCTTCTCCAAATTTCTAAAACAAGCATACCATAAGTATATGCACAAGGAAAATGCTAACTCATAAATGTTTAGTTGGTATGAAACTGGCATAAACTTTATGTAGTCGATTCAACTGCATTTTAAAAGCTTCATCATGTGTTTCAACTATATTTTTCATGTGTTTAAACTACATATATCGCCCGTTCAACAACAATGTTTCAACTGCATCGTGTTTTTCAATTACACTTTTTAAACTGCATCATCTATTCCAGCTACACAATATGAACTCCAATTTTGGGACACAACAATATTTTTTCAACTGCACTTATTCAACTATGTCATCTCAACTTCAAGTGTGTCTCAACTAGTACAACAAAGTAAGGACCGCCTAATTAACCGTGCCTATATTTTTATTTTAGTTGATTTGCTGACCACCCTTCTTCCTCCCCTAGTGGGTTCCTCTTCCAACTGACCCATTTGTATCGTCGGCAGCACCGCTACCTCTTCCCTAACTAACAACGCTATCACACGTTGCCTCACTACCCTTTCTTGTATGATATGTCACCGCTCATGCCTTCCCTGTAATTCGCACCCACACTGCCATATATTATATCATTGGTGACCACACTCCTCTCAATCTAAACCTATCAACCCTCTATTAGTCATCTATGGAGATGTCATGGCCAACAGCACCGTTTACGTCTCGGGTACATTAGAGATGTCATGGCTGGCCATCCCACCTTTGCCTTTGCCTCATTTTTCTACCTCTTCTCTACCGAAATTAACTAAAATGATTTCCCAAGGATGGAAACGCGAACAAATTAATGTACTTCCCCAAATGGACCAGATAAAGTACCTTTACAAAATAATGAAATCAAACAAAGTACACAAGCTCAACACATATACAATCTCATTGTTCTCCTTAGACATGAAATCCTCTGGGGACATGTACGTCTCACTTGAATCTAGCCAGCCGATTGGAGGTGACCACCTCCTCGTCCTATGTGGCAAACTCTCCAGAAGCCATCTACACCATGTCGATGCCTTCAGGGTCATTACCACTACCACTACCTCCTGTGGGGCCGCTTGAACCAGCCGCATCCATGCCATAGTAGTAGGACCAGCCACCAGCTCCACCACACATGTTGCCCAGTTGGTTGTTGATGGAGGACTCGCGGTGCATCTCTGCAGCAGCCTTCAGGTTGTTCACTGGGAGGGTATGTTGTTCGGTGAATGCATACATGTCCATGCTTGCATTGGCTGCCTGCTGGATGTCTTTCTTGCTAACCATCTGTGTCGGAGACAAACCATACGACTGGTGGTGGTTCAGGTGCGCATTGGGAGGGATGTAGTATGAGTACCCCTCTTTTGTCCCATCGGTGACATTCAAGTCTGGCACCCAGTACTGCATGTTGGCCGGGTTTGGGTGGTAGTACATACCAGTCATGGTCAGATTAGGGTAACTCGGGTGCGCCTGTGCGGTAGGGGCAATGACGACGACAGAGTCTATATCGGCCATCCTCGTTTTCCCACCGTGTTGTTGGTCATGATACAACGGTGGGGACACTAGACGTGTCTCTGTGGGTGGTTCGGTATGCGGGTCAAGGCTGCGGATGTACTCCATAAGAAGGGAGAGCTGGCCAGGAGGTGGCTGCTCACTGTTCCTCTTCTTCATATGGCGTTTCGTGTTCAGACTGCGCTTGGTGGCATTCCAGTGGTTCTTGACGGCATTGTCTGACCGTCCGGGGAGTTCTCGGACGATCACCGACCAGCAGTTCCCCCAAGTCTGGTGCATCTTGATCAGCTTCATGTCTTCCACTTCGGTCCATTTTTTCCTCTGCAAGGGAAATATTTGTGAGTTAATTAATTATGACATAACATTCCATTGAATTACAATTGAACACAACACTGCACACGGAAAGTAGTATTTACTAACTTGACTTTTTTTGAACGCAAGACAACACCCATGTCATTGTAAGCGTTGTCTATTTATAAGCCAACCGCCATTCACCATTGCTTTGAGATTTATATTAAATTTTCTTGTTGTTGGCAAAATTTATGTTTTTTCAGAATAAAAAAATGTTTCTAAGTTTCTTCTTGTTTCACAGTGTATTATAATGTTTCATTGTGTAGTAATAAATAAATATGCCCTTTTTCAAGATCAGATTTACTGGTACATAATGAAATAATATGTTAGACTTTGAAACAATAAAAAACTAATGCAATAGTCTTAAACAAGATAAAATTTGCGAAGATTAGAAAACATAGCACGCGTCTCAAAGTATCTAAGGAATCTTAAAGTATCTTAGGAATATATTGGTTCATAAATTTCTAGACAACCAAGCGTCATATACTCGCACAAACTGACCTATGGCTGATATAAATTACTAAAATGGTGGAATGAGCTTCATAGAAAATGGAAAGAAAAAAAGTTAGTATGGGAATAATTATTTGGAGCGCATGGACCCATAAAAAATGATGTGACTTCTTTATTTTGGAGAGATCCTGTTAACAAATTATTTATTTTGGACAAATCCTGTTAAAAATTACACATATTTTGCATGTGCTACAATGTTGGGGATCAATATTGTGCAATTTGAGGTGGGCAAGATATAGAAAACTTCTAGAAAAATTTTAGTTAGCAATATCAATTATATCGCAAATGCAAGTGTCATTTTTTATTTATAGTTTTGGACTCCCTTTTTTGGAACAAGGCAGAAGATTTGCCATTTTTATTTATTAATAAGAGTAGTTTGTAAGATACCACAAAACGAGACAAAGATAATAAATTACTCTCTTGGAAGTACATTACTCAAATTCTTAGCCCCCACAATATCCCAAAGCGATGCATCATCTTGTATGATGCGAATAATGATCACCACCGGTGTCGCTTTGTTTTGAAAGACACGCAGGTTCCTTTCCTTCCAAATCTCGCATCTAACAAAAAGGAGTAAAGAAAATAGAGCTTTCCTCGGCTTCGAATTGTTGTGGACTCCTTCCCACCAAGTTTCATGGTCTCAAAATGTTGCCAAAGATCCGCACTAACATGAAGACCAAGCCAAGAAATCACATCGTTCCAGACTCAAAGATAGAATCAAAACTTGAAGAGGAGGTGAGCTACTGATTCTTACACTTGGTTGCAAAGAGGGCATCCGTCGCAATTTGGCCACTCTCAACATTGTAGCCTATTTGCCGTCCAAATCCCATTTTGGGTGACTAGCCAAGTAAAGAACCTACATATTTGGGAGATGCCCAAACCTTTCAGGCCATGGATAGAAAGTTGGATCAGATGTGGTCGGCCAATCGAGCCTTGTAGGCCGAGGAGGTGGTATAGTTCCTATCGTTAGTCAGCTTCCACATGATTGTATCTTGGACATCTGGTTACATGATGACATTGGAAAGTTTATCCCACAAAATGATGAATTGTTGATTTGCCCTAGTGTTAGGCCTCCTTGATTGTCAATCCGTAGAACCAAAAAACTATAGCTCAAAGCCTTGTTATGTTGCCACCATTCTTGCAAGATATCCCCCAAAAAATGGGCGCATTGTCTTTAGGCCTCAGCCCCTCTAGCCATGATGACTCCCCAAAATTTGGATGTATTTCATCGTCAGTCATAACCTTAGTGCCCGCCGGGAAGGGATCATGATCATCATTGTTGCATGACATCCCCATAATGCACCACGCCCTATGTGGGTCATGCTTGTCAAGCCATAACCATCATGAGCAAAGCGCGATTGTGAACTTCCAAGATTAAGAACTCTTGGGCTATGAAACTCCTTCAGCTTGCAAACTTGCTCCCAATTAATTTCGCACTTACCACTGGTCACTTTATCTATCCGTGCCCAAAGATAGGCGCGACTCATTCTATTAGTATTCCTAAGAACCTCCACTGGGAGGTCAAGTGATGAAAGATGGTATATCGACACCTCCGGGAGCACCATTTCAATGCCTGCTATAGCAACATGTTTTCCTCTCCAAGGTTCTAATTTATTGGTGTCTTTACATTCTAAGTGTTGTAAGTGGAACCTTTGTACTCTTTGAACCTGAGGGGTAGGCCAAGGTAACATATGGGAAGGGATGAGTGGCCTGCTGTGAAGGAATGTAGGATGTCATCAAGGTCGATGTTATCGCCCCAGATAGGTTCAACAATGCTCCTTCTACAATTTGTGACAAGGATGTCAGTATCTATGAAATAGGCAAGCGGGGTGGCAAGGACTTGGACTTGTTCCTTGATAGGGGCACATAAAACTGTCACATCATTGGTGTAAAAGGAAGGATGAATGTCTGTGTGACATCCACTAAGAGGATGAAGCTTTCCTTAGGTTGTAGCCTTGTTCAAGATATGCTGTAGCGGGTTAATGGCAAGCTTGAAAAGCAAAGGGGAAAGGGGGACCCCTGATAGAGCCCATTATCATGCTTGATCAGGTCCTTAGCAATTGCACTGAGCAAAACTCGGGAAGAAGATTAGGAGGGGAGAGTGGAGATCTGTCCCCGGGAGTGGCCTTGGAAGCCATGGTGACTCAACATGTCTATAAAATAATACCACCTAATGGAATCTATGGCCTTATTTATGTGGAGCTGGATGAGGAGTGTAGGTGTCTTGATGTGGTGACATCTTCTAGCCACATCGCGCACATACATCAAGTTATAGTAGATACTTATCCTCTTGATGAAATCACTTTGCACAATGGAAAAAATATCGTTCATGTGCAGAGCCAACTTCATAGAGCAAGGATTTTGACAATGAGCTTGGCCATGACATGGATAAGGCTAATAGTACTAAAATCCAGAATGTCTTTGGTGCAATCTTTCTTGGGGATGAGTGTAACATTTGATGAGTTTAGCCAATGGAAGTTTTCCATGTGGAGGTCTGAGAAGTTAGTGATCATGAGCATGTTGACATCCTCAATAATATCCCAACAGTCCTTGAAGAATTTTTGTTAAGCCATCGGGCCCGCGTGCTTTGTCACTAGCTAGGGCAAAGATCACAACCTTGACCTTCTTCTTTGTGATGGCATCTCCAAGAGCGGAGAGATCATGGCCAACAATGGAAATCATTGCCCAATTGATGTTCTTTGCACACTAGACACTCTTTTATTTATAGCAGAGAAGTGTGAGTGAACAATGTTTTTCTTGTAGTCATGATCCATCACCCAGTCACTCCCATGTTTTAGATGATGTATAAGATTTTTCCTCCCTCGTTCATTCACCCTCAGGTGAAAGTAACAAGTGTTATCATCTCCGAATTTAATATTTTTGATCCTCAAGATTTGTCTCTTCCTTATTCTCTCCATGACCACGAGCCCAACCACACTTATTTGAAGTCTCTTTCAAAGACCTTATCATCATTACTTAGCTCCCAATTATCCTAGGCCTCATCCAACCGAATAATGATCTCTAAGGTCATGTGAAGTTGGACTTTGACGTTGAAGGAAATAGTTCTACTCCAAGTATTAAGCCTTTGACTAATTCTTTTCAACTTTCTGAAAGATCCTTTGATAAGGCTTAGTGTGCTTAGAGAGCTCATCCACACATCTTGAACATAAAGGTGAAATCCAGGCATGTTGGTCCAACAAAATGCAAAGCGGAAGGTCTTTGGTTGCCAAGGGCTATCTCATTGACTTGGAGGAGAAGACAATGATCCGAAAGTGATGATGGGAGGGCATTCATAATGTTCTTGTCAAAAGTGATATCCCAATCTTCATTGCAAAAGAAGCCATCAAGCTTGGACATGGTTGGGTTGCTTTTCTTATTTCTCCCAAGTGTACATATTTGTTCTGGAGGTGGGTTTCTAGTAGCTCACAAAATACAAGAGCATTCTGAAAGCAGAAGGTGTGGCTATGGTTCGCATTGGCATAGTTATTATCTCTAGAGTAGTATATTTGGTTGAAGTTGCCTATGTCAAGACTTTATCTAGAGGATGGGGATTTTCATTCATCATCTCTTCGACGAAGATATCTTTATGGATATTTCTTGTTGGCTCATACACTATGGTAGTCTTAAAGGAGGTTTCAGATCTAACGATGGAGACATTAACAGAGAATGTGTAGGTGCCAAAGTGCACATCCTCTACACGGACATGATCTTCTTGTTGGAAATATGCCCTAGAGGCAATAATAAAAGTATTATTATTATATTTCCTTGTTCATGATAATTGTCTTTTATTCATGCTATAACTATATTATCCGGAAATCGTAATACACGTGTGAATACATAGACCACAATATGTCCCTAGTGAGCCTCTAGTTGACTAGCTCGTTGTGATCAACAGATAGTCATGGTTTCCTGGCTATGGACATTGGATGTCGTTGATAACGGGATCACATCATTAGGAGAATGATGTGATGGACAAGACCCAATCCTAAGACTAGCACAAAAGATCGTGTAGTTCATTTGCTAGAGCTTTGCCAATGTCAAGTATCTCTTCCTTCGACCATGAGAGCGTGTAACTCCTGGATACCATAGGAGTGCTTTGGGTGTATCAAACATCACAACGTAACTGGGTGACTATAAAGATGCACTACAGGTATCTCCGAAAGTATCTATTGTTTTATGCGGATCGAGACTGGGATTTGTCACTCCGTGTAAACGGAGACGTATCTCTGGGCCCACTCGGTAGGACATCATCATATGCGCAATGTGACCAAGGAGTTGATCACGGGATGATGTGTTACAGAACGAGTAAAGTGACTTGCCGGTAACGAGATTGAACAAGGTATTGGATACCGACGATCGAATCTCGGGCAAGTAACATACCGATAGACAAAGGGAATTGAATACGGGATTGATTAAGTCCTTGACATCGTGGTTCATCTGATGAGATCATCGTGGAACAT